ATACAGGGTCACAGTTAACATACAGTATTCATTCAACAATTGGTTAACATTCTAAGGGGTCTTGTATAAACCCCCCCCCCCTACAGGATGTAGTGCTGTCATTACATAGTTCTCCCACCCATATTTCGGCTCCATCTTGGTTACACGATGGAGGGGGGAAGTGAGTAGTAGTTACTTTAACAGTGATTCTCCATTTTGTTACACGTGGCACATAGCTGTTACTTTGCACAAAGGAAGTGGGGGAGGAGTTTAATAAAGGAAGCTGTTCTTTTAACACAGGAATTTGTTACATGAGGCTTGCTCAATGGGAAGGGGGGAGGCTAGCAGGATGGGAGGAATTTGTAGAGAAAATAGTGACTGAACACATTGTAGGGGGGGAAGGGAAGATTTACTCTAGCAGCCAGTTTTAACATAGTGAACACAGTAAATAGACGTTAGTAAATAGCCATTTTATTTTATTTCTTCTGTCCATAACAGTCCCCCCTAAAAATGACTATTTTACTAACAACTACTATCTCTAACTCTAATACTGTCCCTATAGAAAAATAACAAAAGGCTATCTTGCACATCTGTCTGAACAGGCCTCGAACACTTCACTGCGCGGGTGACCCGTAGCAGCTTGTCCACTACTTCTTCCCGCGACAGACTTCTGCCTGTAGAGACAGACGCTATCCCTGAATGTCCTTAAGAGGAAGTAGCTGTTGATATAATGCAGTGGACTGTAAGGGTGTATGTGGTGTATCACGGTCTATGTCGTCAATCTCTTGGTGAAGGAAGGTCGGGGTGGTCTGGTCGATTGTCTGATCAACTGTCTTTTGTAAACATTTCTTAAGACATCGTAACACACAACAAACAAGAAGAGCGAGGATGATTATCGTTATTAAAATGGCAACACCTATTTGGGCCAGAGCACCTTGCCATCCAGTCATCCATCCAAACCATCTCTCCCATGGATCTGCGGCCCCAGAATTTCGTTTCAGCTCGTTGGACAAACTCTTTAACTTTTCTATTGCCAACGTTACCTTACCATTAGGGCCTATATTATCTGGAATATAGGTACAGCATGTCATGGTGCCTGGGAGTATTTTACATACTCCCCCTTTCTCCGCCAGGATCATGTGTAAGGCCATTCTATTCTGGAAGGTCATCTGGGAAGTAGCTTGTAATTGTTCCGCTAAACCCTGGAGGGCATCTCTTGTATAATTTACAAAACGTTGTTGGTTATAATAGATGTAATTAATCCAATTTAAAATTTTATTGGCCGTGATGATTGGAAAAATAGATTCAAACCCTGCGGACACCTCATCTCTTGCTTTAAATTCATTCGGCACCCCCCTTGGTACTCCTATGGCATCTATATAAGTATGGGGATCAAAACTGCCTTTTACAGGAGTACCTCTCTTTATTCTAGAGTATTGGTGTGACGTACCTGGGATATATTGGTGTCCTTCAGAGATTATGTGTATAGGCATAATTACCTTAGCTAGAGCACATTCTCCCCACCATACGCCTTCCAATCTGGTTCTAATCTGCATATCCCCACAAATCCAATATATGTCTCCAAGGGATCTTATTTGTTGCTGGATTAGGGTGGGTGGAATTGGGCTATATGTGGCACAGTACTTACCAGTGAAATTACCAAAGAATTGGCCTACCCCATCATATATACCGTAACAAGTGTAGTTTCCTGGATATATGGTGATACCTTTATCTGGCTTAATTGGGTATTCCTTTGTCCATGATTCACATTCCGTCCGGTCAATTTTAAGTATAGTATAAAGACTTAGGAAACACATCTCTATCTCTGAAGGTATGTTCAAAGGGACAATACCTAAGTGAGGCCTCGCTCCGCAACAGACATAGCAGTTAGATCTGTTATGTTTGTTAGCGTTATATTTCATCCACTCAAGCCATAAGTTAGTATCGGAGAAACTCGTCTCTACAGCCATAGTGTCCTCATACGTAGGGTTAGCTATAGCTATCATGTCTTTTAGAGTTTTGATGTGTGGCTTAAGAGGATTAATAGTCATCTGCGTGGCACCTACCCATTCAGGTGCGTCATACATGTCCCGTAAGAAAAAGGTCCCCTGTTTATTGTATGAACCTCCTCCCTTCCAGTACATTCCCATTACATATTGCCCAGCATCTCCAGGACTGGGATGTTCTAAGTTTAAAGCTAGTTTCATAAGTGTCACCCCCCCCGGTTTCCTGAACGACATTCTTTTCAGTAAGGACTCACCATTTTTATCTAATCTGTCTAAGGCACTTTGTGGTCTATAGCCCCAGGCTGGCCCTGTATTCCAACCTGTTGCCTTCCATGAGCTACACTCATATCCCCAGTAGTCATCAGTCACACATATGTATGGGTCCTTAATGTTAGGTATTTCTTTGTACACTGTTGACAACAATGCTGGTGGAAATGTACAATTTACAACATCACAATAATCAAATGCAAATGTGGCTACCCGTGTACTAGAGGAATTGTACCAAAATGTATAAACATGATTGTCCTTGGTTATAGCGATTTGTTGGGAATGGAAGAAAACACTTGGGCATGTATCTTGTTTAAAACTTGGGAAAGAGCAGTCACATAATTAACCATAGTATCTGATTGCAATTGGAGTTGTTGAGGAAAGTAACAACCTAACCTAGGGGCTGAACCAAACAAAATCTCAAAGGGAGACAGGTTAAACTTCCCTCTTGGTGTGTACCTGACACTAAACAGATCTATGGGGAGACTCTCTGGCCAGGGCAGGTTAGTTTCCTGGGACATCTTAAGCATTCTGGCTTTTAAGGTGCCATTCATGCGTTCTACCTTACGACTACTTTGTGGGTGATAGGGTGTGTGGAATGCAAGGGTCACCCCCAGTGCTGCCCAGACTTCCTTAGTCACTAGTGCTGTAAAAGCCGGGCCCTGGACACTTTCAATCACTTCAGGAACTCCATATCTACAGACAATTTCAGTGAGCAACCGCTTGGCGGTGGTCTTGGCGGTCATATTAGTAACCGGGAAAGCTTCTGGCCATCCCAAGAACATGTCCACCATAACTAGGGCATATTCATACCGGCCACTCTTTGGCATCTGAATGTGGTCAATTTGGACTCTCTGGAATGGGTAGTGTGGCTTCGCCAGATGTTTGGGGAAAACTTTCTCTAATTTTCCCGGATTGCACTTGGCACAGATAGCACAAGACTTACAGTAGATTTTAGTCAGAGTGGTCATTCCTGGTGCTTCGAAATATTTATCAATTAAAGAGTTCATGGGGGTCTTAGACAAATGCGCTGCTCCGTGGGCCCACTGAACCACAGCCGGATACATACATTTAGGTAGACAAAATTTGAGATTGCTAGTATATACTCCATCCTGTAAAGTTGCTCCTTTCTGTTTCCAGCTTTGCTTTTCTTCAGAACTTACAGCTGTTCTTTCAAAAACTTGAGGTCCGTAGGTAAGGTTTGCATGGGAAAAATAGGAATTTCCTCACCGGACACTCTTCTGTCCACTTCCCTTGATTGCCATGCCGCATCTTTGGCGGTTTTGCCAGCTTTATGACTGCCACATGTTTCTTCCGAATTCCATCTTCCATGGGCTTTTACTTTAAGTATGGCCATTTCTTCAGGAACACCAGTTAAACATGGTACAGCTATTGATTGATAGCTGTACCATGTTTAACTGGTGTACCGGATGCTGTCAGAAAACCTCTTGTTTTCCATATTAATACAAAATCGTGTGCTACGCCCAGGGCATATCTTGAATCGGTGTAAATATTAACACGCTTCCCTTCAAACATTTGGCATGCTACAGTGAGGGCTTTTAGTTCAGCTTCTTGAGCAGACATAGATGGGGGAAGTGGGGATGCTTGAAGTACCTGATCTACTGTGGTCACTGCAAATCCAGTGTGGTATCTTCCTTGTTCATCTGAAAGCAAAAGATAGGAACAGAGGTAAAAAGTCGGGTTGCTTATAGAAAGTGGGGGGTAACCCCTAGTAACTGGTATAAGAAAAAGGAGAGGATAAACAAATACAGAGAGACCATAGGGTTAAAATGAATCAGTCCCAAAGGCTCCCTGTATGTGCAATGCAACCCAAAGGGAAGTAATTTAAAATGTAACTTTTAATTAGATTCCTTCTAAAAATCAAAACCTAAATAATAGGTGATAGGTAACAAACCAATATATGAATAAATAAAAAAAGAAAAAAAGAGAGAAGAGGAGAGCTAAGAAATAACTAGGTTATAGCACAGGGAAAAAAGGTTTTCTAATAGATCCCAAATGAGCGGGGCGGAGTCAAATACCGATGCTGGTTAACCCGTGATCGCTGGGGAAGCCGGCACGGATGATTAATATAATAAGTGGGTATCTTGTAAAAGATCAAGGTGAAATATCATAGTTAATAAATAAATAATTGAACTAGAAAATAATGTAAGGAAGTGCATACATAACTGTCAGACTTATAAGTGAAGGTATCCATTACTGTTAGAAAGTAACAGATGTGGATACAGTTATATCATTGCATAATTAGTGTACAGATTGTAGAAGAACTGTATACAGAAGCTTTAGTTCTTGTGTAGGAATTGCTAGTAGCAATTTTATTAAAGACACGGAGGCTCATATTATGCATAACTCTTTCTTTATTTCCTCAGCAGCAAAGATAGAGGAATATAAATATATCAAAAATGAAAGAAAAAACTGTATAGATACACAGGCAACCAATCACATAACAGAGGAAGTGACTATATAAGGCCTGTGTCTCCCACAATCCCCCTCTTTCTTTGCTGCTTCCTCAGACAGCTAAGTATTTGCTCTTATCCTTAGTTTGTCTCTGATGTTATATTTTGTCTGTTTTGCTTTATATTTATTGTAGCTTGCTTGGGTTGCCTTTACTGGGCAGCCTTCCGCTGGTGTGCTCGGGCTCTCCCCTTCACCTCCTGGGTTTTCCCCCCGGTTATACTGTCCCCCTGCGCTCTCTCTTCCCCCCCCTTGCGGGTGCCGCGCGGGACCCGGCTGTGTTTCATAGCCGCGGCAGTCTCCTGAGCCACGGCTGTGTTTGTCTCTGCTTCCCCGATCGCGGGCTGCCCGCGCGGGTAGGGTGCGCGCGCCCCCTCCCCACCGGGGATCAGTCCGCGATCGTGATACCACACGTGCGGCGGCCATTTTGGGCGGTCCGTCGGCTGATCGGTCGCTCACTCTGCTGCTGCCGTGCGGTCTGTCTCCCCGGTCTGGGTCCCCTGAGTGCACCAGCGGGCAGGTTTTCTTCACAGTGTTCCTTGTGGGTTACTCAACCCTTCTCCATTTCGTTTCCCCTTAAAGCTGTATTCCAGTTTATTTATTTTCATCAGTTAGTGCAGATAACTTGCTTTGTTTACCTACTGTCACTTAAAGGTATATTCCCCTATTATTGCCACCATGCAGGATAAGGAGGATGGGCCTATGGGCACCCCTGGTGACTTTAATATTGATAACCCTGAGGGTGCTATGGCCTCCCAGGAATTTCAGGCCCTGCTGGATGCCACTATGGCTTCGTCCTTACAAAAAGCTTTTGCTTCTGCAATGGGTGCTGTTTCTTCCTCCTTCTCTCAGTCACTGCATTCTATGCTTATGCCCTCACTGCCTACCCCCACCCTCCAGGGTGCGGGGTCCCCTTCCTCTGCTCAGACTGTGCCTGGTACCCGTAAGGCAAAGGCAAAATCTAAGCACGTTGATTCCCACTCCTCGATGCAGGTGTTACCTGCCATGACTGACACACTTGATGTGGTCACAGACAGCGCGCATCCCACGCGCAAAAGAGCCCCTGGCCGGGCTAAAAAGGCTAGATTGTGGAAAAGGGCCAGGGCCCTAGATGATGAGTCGGATACCGACCGGAGTGTGGAACGTGACTCTGATGCTATGGAGTATGACTCCTATGATGAGGGAGGGTCAGACGAGGAATTACCCTCCGCGGAGGTTGCCCCCTCTGGGTCCTCTGCCGTGGCCCTAGGCCAAGTTAAGATTCCCTCTGGGGACAGTAAGGCCATTTTTGACCCCCAGGGAAACCCACTGTTCGACCCTGACGATCTGCGTCACCCACGGTCAGCAGAGTGGGTCCCCCCGGACCATATTGCACAATATGTGGCTAAACGCTTGCGTACACCCCTCTCCAAGGAGGGTCGCAACAAGTTGCGTGCCGAATGCCCTAGACCCTCTCTCCCGGGCTCGGCCTGTAAGACTCCGGATATCGACCCCCAAATAGCCCAATTCATGAATAAATCAGGCTGGAAGCCCAAGAAGGGTTTGGATTACTCCCTCAAGGGATGCCAAGACAAGATATTGGATACCCTGGGCCCTCTGTCTAAACTTTACGAGCTGCTAGATGCCGCTAGGGCTGGAGACTCGATTATGGATATCGATGTGGCCATTGGGTGGGTCCAGAGGGCGATCTGCCTATTGGGGAACGCTAATACCGCCATGTCTTCGGAGAGGCGTAAGGCGATTCTCCTTAAGATCGATCCCAAATTGGCTGCCATGACGGTAGCGGAACCTGACCCCTCTGACGAGGGTTTACTGTTTGGAACCTCTTTCGTGAAGGACCTTGGTTCCTATGTTAAGACCTTTACGGCCATTGACAAGGCCCAAGCGAATATGAAGCGCGTGTTCGCTCCCAAGGTTTTCGGAGGGGCCGGGCGTAGCAGGAACCGTCCACCCGGCCGGGGCTTCCGTGGCTCGTTCAGGGCCTCCAGAGGTTCCTTCTTTCCTTCCCGAGGATTTCAGGATACGAGGTCGCCTCCCTTCTTCCCAGCCAGAGGGAGATCCTGGGGCTCCAGGTATCCCCGTGGTGCCGCTTCGGGCAGACGCCCTTATGGTGAGTACCCATTTTTCCCCTCTCGATCATGTAAGGGTGGCAGGGAGGCTAGCCTTATTCTACCAGGGGTGGACAGATGTAACCTCAGATGCTTGGGTTTTGCAATGTGTAAAAGGTTATCACCTGGAGTTCGTTTCTATGCCTGTCCAGGTTCGCACCCCCAGAGAGTTGTCCCTCCCACAGGATCAGGACGACATGATTACCAAGGAAGTAGAGGAGATGCTCACGAAAGGTGCCATAGAGGAAATGCCGTTGGCCTCTCCAGGCTTCACGAGCAATCTTTTTCTGGTGCCAAAGAAAGGGGGCGGGGTTCGTCCCGTGATAAATCTTCGTCCCCTCAACGCATTTCTCCGTTACCAACATTTCCAGATGGAGGGTATACACTGCCTCAGAGACCTCCTTCGCCAATCGGATTGGTTGGCCAAGTTGGATCTGAAGGACGCATACTTTACAGTCCCCATAGCGTTGAGCTGCAGGGATTACCTCCACTTCACGTGGCACGGTCGACGCTGGCGCTTCACTTGCCTGCCGTTCGGCCTCTCGTCGGCCCCTTGGTGTTTCACCAAACTCATGAAGCCGGTCATGGCTTACCTTCGTACCCGTGGGGTGCGACTGATCGTCTACCTGGACGACATACTGATCATGTCCCAATCCAGGGAATCTCTGCTGTTACATTTGGGTTGGACAATCAACCTTCTCCAAAATTTGGGTTTTCTGATCAACTGGGACAAGTCGGTCATGGTCCCTACCCAATCTATAGAATTCTTAGGTTTCCAGGTGGACTCCATCAGGCAATTCCTGTACTTGCCGGAGTCCAAAATGAAGGCCATTCAGAAGGAGCTCCGAAGGGCTCTTCGGGTGCCGGATATGTCTGTCAGGCAACTGGCAAGGATTATCGGCCTTCTGGCGGCTTCGATTCAGGCGATCTTTCCGGGCCCGCTACACTATCGTGCCCTCCAACGACTCAAGGGTTCACACCTACGTTCGGGTCGCTCTTACGAGTCCCGGATACGTCTGGACGACGAGTCCAGAGACGAGTTGGTATGGTGGTTGGCACACATGGAGGCCTGGAATGGCCGGGCCATCTTCGGTTCGGTCCCGGATGTCGTGATAGAATCCGATGCCAGCTTACACGGCTGGGGTGCTCGTTGTGGAAACGTTTCCACCGGAGGCAGATGGTCCGACATGGAGAGGTCCCTACACATCAATTGTCTAGAACTGCTGGCGGGGGCCTTCGCGATACGCAGTCTGACCCCAGGCCGGGCAGACTGTTGCGTTCTCCTCAAGATGGACAATGTGTCGGCAGTCCGGTACATAAATCATCTTGGGGGTACCAAGTCCAGAATGTTGGCGCTATTGGCGAAGGATTTCTGGCAATTTTGTCTCCTCAACAACGTCTCGGTGCAGGCGGAACACATTCCGGGCCTGGACAATTCGGGTGCGGATTGGAATTCCAGGCACTTAAGAGACTCGGGAGATTGGCACTTGCACGTTTCGGTTTTCCGAGGTCTGGACAGTCTCTGGGGACGCTTCGAGTTGGACCTGTTCGCTTCACGTCTGAACACTCAACTCCCGGCGTTTTACAGCTGGAGGCCAGACCCGGCAGCAGTAGCGACGGACGCCTTTCTCCAAGACTGGCCTCCGGGACGCCTGTATGCCTTCCCACCGTTCAACATGATCGCTCGCACGATATCGAAGTTGGTCCGGCACGATTGCTGCCTGGTACTGATCACACCTCTTTGGAGGTCCCGTCCTTGGTTCCCACGCTTGATGGAGTTGTCGATAGACTACCCCAGACTGATTCCGAGCTTCCAGGATCTTCTCCTGGACCCGGATGGGAACTCGCACGAGCTGGTGCTCCGACATCAGCTACCTCTGATAGCGTGGCTCCTTTCAGGGGTACCTGGGTTGTCCCGAACGTTTCGCGGGCGACTCTGCAACTCCTCGATAACGCTTGGGCTCCAGGTACGCGATCGGCATACCGCTCTTCATGGGGCTCATGGTCTAGTTGGTGCATGGAACGGGCAGTGGATCCCGTATCTGCCCCTCTCCATCTAATTCTGGAATACCTCACTTTTCTGTTTGATTCGGGCAAGGCGTATCGAACTATCAACCTTTTTCGTTCCGCTATATCGGCTGGACATGTTGGTTTGGATGGTTCGCCCGTGGGCAGACACCCCTTCGTGTGTCGCCTGCTCAAGGGCATTCGCCTCGCCCGTCCGCCCAAGGCTCGTTTCTCTGCCTTTTGGGACGTTAACATTATGCTTCAGTTTCTATCTTCCTGGTACCCGAACCAGGGACTGACCCTTAAGCAACTGTCTTCCAAGTTGGTTATGTTGCTTTGTTTGGTTTCATGTAAACGGGTTTCTGATGTTAGGGCCCTCGATTGGGACGCCGTTACCTTCTCCCCTGAAGGTGTGACTTTTAATATTTCCAGACGGACTAAATCTGCATCAAGGTCTTTCGTATACCCTAGATTCCAAGGGTGTCCGGCACTCTGTCCAGTGGAGTGTTTAAAGGTCTACTTGGAGGTGACTCGACCTCTTCGCTCACTAGACCTACGACCTTTACTCATTTCTTTTCGTACTCCGCATCGACCTGTGGCGACACCGACCCTGGCACGTTGGGTGCGTTGGCTGTTGTCTATGGCTGGTATAGACACGTCTATCTTTACACCCCATTCGGTGAGGGGTGCTATGGCTTCCAAGGCTTCGACAGTCGGCTGTCGTCTGGAGGACATCATGCGTGCAGCGGATTGGTCTCGAGAGTTGACCTTCTGTGACTTCTACTTCAGACCTATTGAACACATCGCATCTCAGGTGATAGCACAGCTTTGAACTTGCATAATATGAGCCTCCGTGTCTTTAATAAAATTCCCAGATTTTACTATTAACATGACGTAAAGTCATGATTTTATTAAAGACACGGAGGCGAGTATTATTCCCTCCCACCCTCCCGGTGTGGGGTATGGAGCGAGATGCGATTTGGCGTGTTCAGGTATGTTGAGTTTGACCTGCCTTGGATGTACTTCATATGGTGTATTACATATACTAATTAATTATGTCTATTATATTTTTCAGGTTTCATTCCTTAACCTTATGACAGGTCACTAGTTTCGTATTGGTAAGTCTACAGTTTGGAGTTGGGTTATTACCATATTTCTCTCTCTTTTTTAGCTTGAAATTGTCGGTTTGTTCCAGTTCCCGGTTTTGACCAAGCAGGATATCGTTCTTCTTACCTGGTCTTCGGTTTTCGCAAGAAAGAGGGGGATTGTGGGAGACACAGGCCTTATATAGTCACTTCCTCTGTTATGTGATTGGTTGCCTGTGTATCTATACAGTTTTTTCTTTCATTTTTGATATATTTATATTCCTCTATCTTTGCTGCTGAGGAAATAAAGAAAGAGTTATGCATAATACTCGCCTCCGTGTCTTTAATAAAATCATGACTTTACGTCATGTTAATAGTAAAATCTGGGAATTTAAATACATACTAAAAACAGGCTTAAAGAAATAGGTCCTATATACAAGAGGATATATAAGACCAAAATTGTGCAGATTAATTGTATTTGACATTGTTCAATAATAGTAAGGAGGATAATAATGAAATTATAAATAGCACAGTAAACTGTGGATACTTAAGAGAGGTATGGTGTTCCATATATAAAGAAAAAGGAAATGAAACTTAGTACTGGATTCAAACATCAATTTGAGAGGAACTATACTGGCAGAGACCTAATTAAGAATGGATGAATGGAGTAAAATTGAACTCCTCATTCAATCCTTTGGGGTATAGTGTTTGAAACAAATAAATCCAACGAGATTCAGCTTTTAGTAATGCAATATTAATATCCCCTTTCCTGTGGTTTTGAAAGACCTTTTGAATTACTTGGAATTTGAGTACATTGGGTCTGGAATTGTGATTTATACGTACGTGTCTTGCTATCAGAGTGTCCAAGTGTGGATTTAGAATTGAATTGATGTGTTGCAAGACACGTCGACGTAATTGTTGATAGGTCTTACCAATGTACTGTAATCCACATTCACATGTGATGATGTAAATAACATTGGTGGAACCACAGTTGATAAAGGAGTTCACCTCAATATCTTTTGCAGTTTTATGATTCCGTACTTTCTTGGATGGTAAAATAAAATCACAGGCCTTACAGTGCCCACATCTGAAAAGGCCCTTAGTCTGAAGCCAGGTTGGTTTGGTTGATAGTGGTTTAAAATGACTTTGGGTAAGGAGGTCTGCAAGGTTCTTTG